AGTTTGCCATGTATAATCACCACATGTTTCATGTGGTCATGGATCACAGTCTTACTTTCCATTAAAGGAAATTGTTTACCATGGAAAATCAAACAGCAGTAAGAATCAGGTTTATTTCCCATGGAAAATCAAACAGCACTAAGAATCAGGTACGCTTTTGAGATGTTAGCAGTTGACGGTAGCAAAATTAAACTCAAGGTAGATGGTGTTTATCGGCTCAGAGTTACCTCAAATTAAATTTTGATGAAAGTTCGTTAGGTAAATTTGGGTCGGAGGGCATGGGAGGTATTCTAAGAGATTCAACAGGGCATGTGCTTCTTTCTTTCTGTGGACCCTGTGGCATTTCGTCAACCGTTAAGGCTGAACTTTGTGTTGTTCAACGGTTAAGGCTACTCAAAGAAAATAATTTGGGAAGATTCTGTATCGTTGAAAGAAAGTCCTGTAATGTGATTAATTGGTGCAATAAGGTTAGTAGACTTCCTTGGACACTAAGGTCTCTATGGGGCTGGGATTATGGATATTTGAGGAGTGTTGGAGGTGTCTTTTAAATAAGTCTATGGATGTATATTTGTGGAGTTTTGGAGGTGACTTTCCAACAAGTCTATGGAGAGACAAATAATGTTAGTGACGGGCTTCTAATTCTTTGCTTGTTGATAATGAACTCCTGTTGGAATGTAATTGTAACTTACATTTGATTTAATAATATTTATATGATCCTTGTCAAAAAAAAAAAAAAATTCAACTCAAGTTTAGTTTGCCATTTACTTAAACTCGACTTTAATATTCAGTGGAAAGTGCAATTGAAAATCGAGTATGAAATAAAAGGCGAGAGTGATAGATGTCATGATGCCTCCACATGGTTTAAAAATGTGAAATAGGTGGCATGTCGCACGTTTTAATTAAATTCTCGGCACATGCACGCATATGCAATTATGCACCGCCCCTCTCCTTTTTGCTTGCGTGCACATATTTACATAATTGTACACCTACATATGCATATTTAGATGGGATATACATCATAGTTTTAAAACCTGGCCATTTCTTGTGTGGTTACAAATCGTTTGGGACCGAACCGGTTTTAGCATAGTATTAAGTCTCAACTCGATTCTGCCATCTTTTTCTTTTCTTTTTTTTCCTTTCTTAAAGCTTGTCTAATTAGGTTCCTTTTAATCTCCACCCTATGAACCCCTATTTTTATTTTTATTTTATTTTATTTTTTAATATTTTTTATATCACAGATCCATATGTTCTCTTTAGCAATCCGACATGTATTTATCGGGGAACAATCCATCCCCCACTAATCCGGGTTTTAAACTCTGCATCAGACCTTTAGTAATGGATACAGTGTATCACTTAGTGCAATATTCATTGGATAGGGTTGCAGTTCACTAAATTAGATTTATTGTGGCCAGAGTCGAAGACCATTAGAAAGATGGGTGTACTTCAGATGCCTCGTAGAAAAACCTCATAATGCCTTTTAGAAATTGAAAGTCGGAAAAAATAGGGCAGATCTAGTGGATATGTGAAGAGTTAAAATGGGTGGTCTAAAAAATGTGTTTGCAATTGGCCAAATTTTAAGGTTTAATTTTTTTTCGCTCATACTCATAATGATCAGTTTGCTGATTTTTTAGGGCAAAACTACATTTTGTAGTTAACTTAGGTTTGAAGTTGTATTAAATTTTCTACAACATGTATATGCAGTTGTGGCTTCATTAGTTACTTTCCCTTCACCTTTCATCCTTTTTATTACCTTGATTTTGAAAGCCCTCAAAGGACGAGCCATGATGGGTTCGAAAAAACGGTTGATGGGGCAATTTCCAATTTTGTCCCTTCATCTAGAGAACAATATTTTTTAGGAATTGCAGTTTAAACGCACCAGTAGATTTACCCAAAAAGAAAACTACACTAGTAGACATTAGATATTGGAACTTCAGATGTGAATAAATGAGGTTACCTTGGTATTGATATTTTCAAACATCAATGCCTCACTCAATGTTTAAGAAACACGAATTGGGTGGCGATGAGGGCACTCTTGGATTTCTGAGTTAGATTGCTGACTCCCAACGAGTTGGGCTAAGCATCGAAAAAAAAAAAGTTGCCGGTGCCTGATAGTGGCTCGAGTCCCCATATTGAAATGCCGTGTTTTTGGTGATCAAGGCGATTCCTTGATTTTGGGCTATCTGGAACTGGCACCGTCTAGGTTCTAGCAAACTCAAGCAATTTGTTTTTTTTATTTTGGGTGATTCAGTGGGGAAGACATGCCCCTACCTATTTTTTCAAGTAGATTATGAGTTTGCTTGTTGAAGGGATTAATGGGGTGGTGTTAACGGTAGGAATGAAAACCACAATGTAGTAACTAAGGTCTGGAGGTGCTACCACCATAAGCCCCAGCCCCTTTACCCCTCGGGCAATTTGTTTGAGCCGCCTATCTGATTTTTCATTCCTTGAGTTCTCTAAGTTACCTTGTGAGATATTTATGATTTTTTAATGGCAATATCTCATGGTTTTGAAATTTCACCATTCTCTCGTGAATACGCCTCTTCACATTGTATACTAGGATGCGAATGTTGGAAATGTTAAAGTTGTACACTTGCAAGAGCACACGATAGTTTACTCCCAAAAGATTTATTTCATATAATTTTTTTTTTATGAATTTAAGGATCCACTTTTGGAATCACCATGGAGATATTTTAAAAGAGTAATTAAAATTTGAATTGCTGAACACTTTGATGTCACTTATACAATATCTGTTCAATATTAGTATGAAATCAACTTTTTTAGGTACATATAGTACTTTTTCTTTATTGGAAATCGTTGTTAGGTGATCTTCGCCGACTCCAATTAGTAGGAAAAAGGCGTTGACGAGAATGATTTGTTAAGTGATATCCAAACATTTTGGGATCCGAAAAATAACGCCCATACAAGGTTTTATATGTGGGAGTTAGTGTACCACATGCATGTGATCCTTTCTTTGGGCTTGATAATTTTCCCTGTCTACAATGTACTTGTGCATCTCACAATGATCATACGGTTAGGCAAGAACTTACAGATAGGCACTACTAGCTCGATATGTCATTTCACTCTCACCCTTCACATGCATGAGCTAGTCAACCACTTGTGCTTACTTGAAGTATAGTGAAACACATGCTTGTACTTGTGTACAGAAGCACATAGAACTGCACACAACTGCATGTGAAAATGCGTGGGTCTACTTGTTAAGAGTATAGACACCTATCGCATGATAGATGGACTGTGTATAATGAATGGAGAAAAGTGTGTGTTGGCTTAGCTTGTGTTTACCGGTGATATCAAATTTGCTTCTCTTCGGCCGATGCTTCTGTATTTTAGGAATAAATCAAAGCGAAGTGAAGCTTAGTGTTGTCGATTCGATCGGATTTGGGCCATTTTGAGCTGCTTTATTCAGATTCGGGTTTTCTTCGGTCAGCAAAGAAATAGCTATATAAAAGTGTTTTTTTATTTTTTATTATTTGTAAATTTGTTCGATTATTTGTATATATTTTATATATAAATATCAAATTTATTTATATTAAATTTTTTTAAAAAGTCTGAAGACTTCTCTTGAATCGGTCGAAGCATCGAATTGCTTCATTTTTCTCATCAAACTGAAGAAGACTCCATAGCGAATCTGACAACATTGGTGTTAATCGTTAAACATGCGTACTTGTGCTTGTGTATAGGGTGCCTAGGGTGGCAAGCTTAGGGTGGCAGTGGGCCGGATAGCTCGGCCCAGCCCAAAAAACCTAGGGTTGGCCCTCAAATCGTGGCCCAAGGGTTGGGCATCCACGGATAAAGGGATAAGGCTATAGCCGGCCCAACTTGGCCTAGCCCTTTTTTTATTTTTTATTTTTAATTTGGCACATCCTGGCTTTTCCTGGCCTGGCCCGCCCTAATATCGGTATGGCCAAAGCCTCTTTGCCTCAGTCAAGGCTGGGCCAGCTCAATAGGGACTAGGGCCAGGGCTGGCCCAGCTTGTTGCATGTTGTATGTGTTCTTGGGGCATGTAAGATATGTTTGTTTTGCATGCATGACTAATGGTACAAACGAGAAAAACCAATTTTCATGTGCATTTTTTCAAATAAAAAAAATTGTTTTGGATGTTTTGTGCCAATAAGAAGGGATATGTCCTTTCCTTATGTTAATGAAAATAAGTATTTTGTACATATTGATCTTTTACCCTATTATTTTTGGCAAAAATGGGTAAAGTTTTTAACTAGCAGCTCCTTATTCCGAAGAATCAATATTTTCTTAATCACCTCGGCCTTGGCCCATGGCAAGTTACTAGGCCGAGTAATGCACTTCATGTTTAAATATTAAAAATAGATAAAGGGGTAAAAAATGGTTAAATTTTTTTATTTTACACATGAATAATTTAGAAAAAAGGTAAAAATAAAAATAAATAAATAAATAAATAATAATGGGATAAGGAAAATTTAGCTGGCCCCAAATAATTGGGATAAGGCTTGGATGATGATGAGATGATGGAATAAAAAAAATTGCTAATCATTTTAAAAACTATCAAAATAATCTAAAAAAGTTATTCTAATTATTTTTTATTTTTTAGTATTTTTATATTTTTTTACATCTTTTTTTGGTGCTTTGCAAATTGCCCCTAGAACTCGCCGCAACTCAGCCTCGGCTAGGCTAAGTCGTGCTACACTGTAAAGAACCCTTGCGTCCTTACCCCAAAAAATTGCTCATGATGTTGGCCATTGGCATTTACAAGTCCTGGCTGATATGTCCTTAGTCATCATCTCTCTCTCTCACACACACTCATAGACACACACACATGCATGAAAGATTCTCTCTTTCAAAACCTTCATCCGAAAATTCACACTTCTAGCTAAATGGTCTCAATATCTTAGTAAGTTGAGATAAAGTTTATGTCAGGAAGGAATGGTGGTATATGTAGAATGAATAGTTTTGTAGCGAGTAAAACTGCCTTCAGCTAGCTGTTGATGTAAGTTTGTTTTGTGATGCAGATGGCATTTGAAATTTTAGTAAGAGCCTTGATGAGTGTGGGCTCAGGCAAAGACATGAACTTCTTGAGGCACGAGTTCCGAGAGTTTATTGCTGGTTTGATGTCTTTGCCTTTCAACTTACCCGGTACCAGGCTACGCAAGTCTCTGCAGGCATGTTATCAATCATTTATTGACATATTTCTATTTTTGTCTTTTCGTTTGTTTGATATAGGAAATTTAGTAACAGACATTATCTCCTAATGATTAAATAATATTAAAATAAACTTATGTGTTTTCTGTTGAAAATGTGTCTTTGCATTACATGTAAAGAGAGAGGCACAAAATGATAAAATATAAATTTCAATTTGATCTCATTATTGGTTTCTTTGTTTCTGATACATGCCTGAATATGGAAACAAATGAAGTGAGATATTCATGTATAACTTAGGGATCGAGTATAGTAGCAGGAGAGTCCATTGAACCCCATGGTTGAAGAAATTTGTTGGTTTGCTAACAAACAATCGCGATTCTTCCATTAAAAGACAGATATTATTTATATCTTACTACGTATCAATAGAATGGGGATATTATTATGCAAATATATGGTCTTCTGATCACTTATATTTTCCTTCAATCGTGGTTTTAAATATCTTAGGCCAAGAAGAGGATCATGAAATTGGTACGTCAAATTATTGAGGAGAAAAGGAAGAAGAGGAAGCAAGGTTTGAATCCCATGGATGATGTTATAGACGTGCTAATCAACGATAGCCAACAAGATGCACAAGAAGAAGGAAATGAAATAGAAATGAAGGATGATCTTTCAATGGCTAACACTGTCATAGACATGATGATACCCGGAGAAGATTCGGTCCCTGTCCTCATAACGCTTGCCCTCAAATTCCTCACTGATAATCCTACTGCTCTCCAGCAAATGCGGGTTGGTACAAACTCAACCAAATAGTAAACACATGCATTTGGTGTGTATGAAATGTTTCGTAAGATTGAAATATGGCCAAGACAACTCCAGTGTCCTTCAGTTCATGCCTGGGCTGCAGCTATGATCTCTACACAGTCGTGTATATGTTTTCAGTACATGGCCTCTGTATGTTATCATTTCTTTACTATATGATTGAAAGCAAATAATCTAGCATTGGCTTGCTTGATATTTCCTACTCGGTGGTACTAGAAACTCCTATTGCCTATTCTTTCGCATATGATCTTTATTTGCATGCCACTTTCCTCTGTTTTCATAGCATCCCCGGTTTTGGTTTATTTTCCCAATTTGAGAATCATGTCATTTTCCCTCTCAACTGTGTTGTATGTGTGCATAAGAAGGATATATTTCATTCATATGTTTCTGTGCAGGAGGAGAATTTGAAGCTGAAGAGATTGAAAGCTCAGGCAGGTGAAAAGCTGTGTTGGACAGACTATATGTCGTTGTCGTTTACACAGAATGTAAGTTAAACTGATAATCGTTGTTTATATTACCTCTGAAAAAGAGATAAAGAAGCTTTACTATGCTTTATTTATTGTTCTCAAACCCCGTTCTTATTGTGGTTAGGTGATCACCGAAACTTTGAGGATTGGAAACATAATAAATGCGGTGATGCGCAAAGCTCTAAAAGACGTGGAGATCAAGGGTAAGCTATTTTTAAACTAAACACCAGCAAAAAGGACCATTTATTTTCTCTTTAAAAATGGCAGAAACTTCTGCATTCCTTTTTCAAAATTCTAATATGCCCTAGAGCATCATAATTCCTTCAGTATTATTGACTTTTTTATGAATATCCACATTACTCCACATTTATCGAAAACCATATACCACTCTAAGATAACCAAAGAATAATATTGTTATCTTACAGGGGATGTGATTAAGGACGGCGCATGTTTTGGGGTTTTCTTTACATTGATTCATAGATAAGACTGTTCCTGAAGTAGTGACTAGTTTCTTACCTAAAATTTGTCGGTTTCATTGGTTTTTAGGATATTTGATACCAAAGGGGTGGTGTGTGTTGACTTCATTTAGAGCAGTTCACCTAGATGAGGAAAACTTCAGCAACCCTTACCAATTTAATCCTTGGAGATGGAAAGTAAGTGGTTATGCAAACTTTTTGTATTCATCATCCCCTTCTATGAGATGTGGCAGCTATTTATTTCATTTTTTTTATGGCTGACTACGACTTGCAAAACGGACTTGTAAAGAGCGGTTATAACTTGTGTTTACTTTTTCAAGAAAAACCCATAATGTTTCATGCATTAGTGCTATGTTTTTGTAGGAAAGATGGAATATCAGGATTTAGAAATGACTGCATGGAACTTTCGTGCAGGATACAAAAATCCTTACGACGGTAGGAAGTTCAAAAAAGCATACCTGGACAAGTCATTTGATGATTTTACCATCTATAACCCACGAAGAAAACCAAAGGGTTTTAAGATACATCTTATGTGAAATATCCCTTTTTATTATATATTTTTTCTTTGAATTTTGTGAGCTAAATGTTGGAGGGAAAAATTATAAAATATCAATGATTCAAATTAGCCGAACTAAGACAGAGTATATGGAATGCAAGTTTAGTAATAATAGGATTAGAGACAAGGAAGTAGACGGTCAAGAAATAGCCGAAAAGAGTGCACTCTCAATATTTTAGATCGACAATCCAGAAAAAATTAGAAATTGAAGATCACACATAGAATCAGCTAGGTGGGCGAAGTGGAGATATGCAACAAGAGTTTCTTGTGATCGCCACATTACCAATGAAGCTGAAAGGAAAGTTTTATAGGACAATTGTAAGACCAGTTTTGTTTTATGGGGCGGAATGTTGGACGGTTAAGAAATAACATACCCATGAGTATGGTTGAGATGAAAATGTTGAGATGGATAAGTGGTAAGGCAAGATGAGATAGAATTCAAAATGGATACATTTGAAAGAACTTAGATGTAGCTCTAATAGGTGATAAGACGAGAGAAAATAGACTTAGGTCGGCTGGCTATGTGTAGCACAGATCTAGTGCAACACGTGCGAGTTGGGTCAAATGGAAAGCTAAAAAAAAGCAACGGTAAGCCAAAAAAAATATGGTTGGAAGTAGTGAGAAAAGATATGATGACTTATGACCTTATTGAGGGTATGACCTTTGATAGAGCAGAATAGCGGACCAGGATTTGTGTAGCCGAACCCAAATAGTTAGGGAAAAGCTCTGATGGTGATGATCATGAAATGATTCAAAATTTTAATAAATTTGAAAAAAGTGCCCTTTCTATAGACTATTCTAAAAATTGATTTGTGGATGAAACAATTTATTATTGTTCTCACAAGTGGTAGAATAGTCCTAAAAGGCACACTCTGAATTTTAGGTTTATTGTATGGTGCAATAAAGTTGGTGAATTGATATGTGGATGATGCAATTTATTAGTGTTCAAGCACTAGTTAGGACTTTCAGGCTTTCCAGCATATATGTCCTTTACATTTGTTTCATAAACTATTGGTTGATTCTTCCTTGTTTCTATCTATTCTCTCTTCATAGTACACAATGTCACCATATCTTCGAATGACAACATAAAATTGGCTGAAGGACGACAATTTTGTGGAAATATAGGACAATTGCTGCATTAGCAAGATTTAATATTTTAAACCTGAAACTCCAATTTTATTTATTTATTTCTTATAAGCTTGGCTGTTTTCTGAATGTAAAGCTGGTTTTGGTGATGACGGTGTAGGATAAAGAAGCTGGCGGTTTCACCTTCACTCCTTTTGGGGGCGGCTACAGGCTTTGCCCTGGCATTGAGCTCTCTAGGCTTGAAGCTGCTGTTTTCCTCCACCACTTTGTCACTTCTTTCAGGTATTCCTTTGTTTTGTAACCTTGGTTTTCTGCAGATATCTTCCCAAAAGACCTTGTTGAAGAAACAAAAAAGGAACTAAACGTGATACTCATGAGATAATAAATGCAACAATTCATATGAGTGGCCTCTCTTTTACAGAACCATTTTAATTGGCTTATTTTAGACAAGGATACCTTTTCCTAGGCCACTCCTAGTGACCCACCTTCCATTGCAGTTGGTTCAGTGAGCTTCAAAATATCGAGCTGAAAAAAGTGCACATAAAGATCACAACTCAAAGCAAGCACTGATAGCAAATCATTTGCGGTATATGAAGATAATTGACATCCAGACTCTCATTGATATTATAGAAACATATGCATTACAGTAATTTAGATTAGGATGGCATTTCCATAAGTGCGTCTGCATGAGCTACTTTCATCGCTATTCCATAACATCATGTTCTGATACCGACCAAAACAATACTGGACTGTCAACCAACATATCACTCTGTTCCTATGAAACACTATAAAATAGAAAAGGTGTTTGGATTTTTACCGAAGGAAGTTCCATGAGCTTGATATTTTAACTATATCAATCATTTACATGAGGAGGTGCTCATGTTCCCTTGTTTGAGGGTCATGATTGCCATATCTCAAGTTCTATTGAATCTCGAGATATACTGAAAAACTGTCGCTTTGGTTACACACTTTTGTGGTCTAGTAAGTCTTAATGAAGTGTATAACATGATATTCACAATTGGAACTTGTTAAGGGGGATTGTGAGTCCACTTTTAACATTGTTTGATATATAATCTACTTTTTCTTCCCTGAAAGGTTCAGTATTTGGTATGTAACTTGTGCTTGATATTTCTCACCTCACTTGATGTTCTTGGAAAACTTTGCAGCTGGGTGGCCGAAGAAGATTCAATTGTCAACTTTCCAACAGTCCGGATGAAATGTGGACTGCCTCTTACCCTAACACCCCTTCCTTCTTACCCATCCTTCCCTTCTCAATAGTCCAACTCTCTCTCTCTCTCTCT